TAATATATTAACTATATCGTTTTTCTGTAGTTCGGCTTTTTGAAAAGTTTGGTTCGAATGATCGTCGGAAAGAGTTTGATCATAAAAAACTATTTTGTTTATATTACTTTGGTTTAATATTATTATTACTATTACAATAATCCCCTATTTGACTCATTATTCTGTTAAAATCTACACCTCTTAAATGAGGACTCCATGACATTTCAATGTAACCATCTGTCATAAACCCAAGAATTCCTACATTTAATATGTTAAGATTATGTTCTTCACCTAATAAATATGCATCTTTTTCATTTTAACAGTTCTTTTTTTAAAACTATATATGGAATTCATATAGTCTAGAAATATTACAAATAAGAAATTTCTTTTATCAAAAAAGCTTGATTCAATATTACTTGGTTTATTTTTAAGACAAACAAGCATTTTTTTAAGATCTAAACACATAATTAATTCATGTTTTGTAAAATCGCATGCATTACATTCAACAGTTATTTCAGATTCAAGTTCAACTTTAACTTTTCTAGTATCAAATTTTATTTTACGAAGATTTTTATCAACTAATAAATCACTGATCAAGATATCTGAAGATTTTTTATGAGCAAAATCTTTATCACAAAGTTGTAATATAAAGCTTTTAATTTTGAGAGAAGAGATTAATAGAGTAATTCTACTATTTTTGTTTCCAGTTGTTGAAATTTCAATAGTTCGAGTATGATCTTCATTTTGTAAAATTACAAAATTAATATAAATTAAAATATTATGTAGAATAATATATTCAAAAGAAGCAAAATTTTTTTGTGTTTGATAAAGTCTAATTAGAAGTATTCGTATATATAATGGATCTACAAAAAATGTTCTATTGTTTTCTGTAACAGAACCAAATACTTCTGTAATAATTTGTGTTCCAGCTGGTCTTGAAACTTGACAGTCATTTAATTTCTCTTCGTCAAAACAGTATCCGATAGTGCATAAAAATGAATTTACTTTTTTTTTTAAATTTGTTTTATTGTATGGTGTTTTTTTTGATGATTGTTTTTTTACTTGCAGCATTTTTTATTTTTACATCTACACGAATTACACTTTTTCAATTTTCCAACTGATTTCATGATTTGTGTTCTTTTTTTAACAGCAGTGGTTGATTTTTTTTTTGTGATTGTATTTCTTGATTTTGTTGTATTTTTGATAGTAGCTTTCTTTATGATCTGTTTTTTCTTACTAGATGCCACTTTGTCTAAATGAATCTATAAAAAGAACTATATTGTGAAATATTTCTTACACTAGAATATTTGAATATGATAATATATGTGATATAAATTTAAAATCAATTTCAACAAATTTAATATGCAATATAAATATCATGTAGATAATAGCTATTAAAAGAAATATATATAAATAAGAAATTATGATATTGATTTTTAATTTGGATTTACTATATTGTTCACACAAATCAGAGTAATTTGCCATTTAATTTTTTTGTAAAAATTGAGAGGACTCAGATATTTATATAGTTTCTAAAAATCCTAATTCATTCTTTGGATTTTCAGGACTTATTTTCTACATCTTTGCAATTGCTTTCATTGTCTCTATACTATTTTCATGTTTTGATGCCACTTCATTATAATTATTTTTTATGAATTGTTGATATTTTGTTGGTTTTTCTTCTTTTATCTCTTTCTCTTTTTGTTCATTTTTTTTTCTACATTTTTTTACTTTTGAATTATCAATATTGTACACAATATCAGCAAGTCTTTCTATATTATTAAGATTTGTTATTGTATAATCAGGATTATGACCCAATATTTTTTCAATTAATTCCTGTTTAGTTTTTGATTTTTTCACAAACTGTTTTAGTTTACTATTAAGAACTTTACCTATTTTTTACTAGAAAAAAATATAAAAAGAGTTGCATATTTATATGATTTCACATTATAAATGAAATAAAAGAGTTATTTGACAAAGTTGATGATATTATCAAACTCATAGAAGATGATAAAGCAGATTATTTAGAATCTCTAAAACAACATAAGTCAAAATATTTCATGAAGTTGAGAAAATGCTTTAAGATAAACAAAAGAGTATTGATGCATTAATTATAGTAAACAATTTTTTATCAACTGAATCCAATTACTACAAGACATATTGGTTTTCAAAATTATTTGACGAAACATCTGACTGGTTAAAAGATCTTATTATTGATTTTGTTGACCAACATACACTTGAACCACTTAGACAATTCACAAAAATTTCTGTAGTTAGAGAATATTTATTTAATTTTTTTTTAAATTTGTTTCATTGAGAACAACTTCAATAGTAGTTATTTTTTTTCAGTTTCTGTTAACATTTCATTCTATTAAGATTATTGAATTATTTATTTATAACTTTTGTTTCTTTATATTCAGAATTCATTATATAAATTATATATTCAAAATAGATATGATTTGTTATATAATATAATTTATTTTTTTGCATTAACAAGATCAAAAAGAATTGTAAAAATGCTTCTAAAATACATCAATGTAAGCCAGAGACCCACATTATAATAAACAAAAAAAATTAATAACTACAAAATTGTTTTGTAGATTTCTTTATGATCTTTTTCAATTAAAAACCCTGCAACTTGTGTATATAACCCAATTATCAAATATAATACAAATATTGTTAAAAAAAAATTTTCATAACAATATCTATACACATAACAACCAAATTTCCAAAACCCATGATACATATAATATACTTCTGAGAATTGTCATATGAAACTGATAAGCTATAAAAAAAATTAGTTATTAACAAGATATTAAAGAAATTAAATTAATTAATTTAATACATATATCAAGCATTTTTTTTTTTCTTTTATTGAACAGAACATAAGACTTATTTATAGTTTATGATATCTTTATTGTTAAAAAGAACAAAAGATTAAAATTAATAATAAAAATAAAAAAAAAATAAAAAAAACATACATTAATGTTTTTTTTAATAATTGAAAAAAAAACAATCTAACGTATTTATAAAAAATTAATTATATGATTACACAATTATGCCATTATTACCTTTTTTAACTTTTTACTGACTATCACAATTTTATCCATTTTACTTCTCAAAGTCTTTGTTCTTTCAAACTTGACACCAAAATTCTTCAAAAAATCATTTGCTTTTTGATTTGCTTTACTTATTATTTTATTATTAGAATTAGATAAAGTATTTAATTTTTTATTTTTTCATGTAGCTTATTATTTTCATCAATTAATTTAATATTATCTTCATTTAGTTGAGCATTGTCTTTTTTCAAATCTTTGTTTGCATTTTTTAAGGCTGTATTTTCTTCTCTCAATTTATTTATCAGAGCTTGTACTTTATTTAATTCTGATGCAGAGTTGGTAGCAGTTGTCATTATCTAAAGAAACAGATATTATTATTTATAAAAAAAATTATTTTTTACAAGATACTATCATAATGTAAAAATATCATAAACATTTTCATGAAAGAAAAACTTACTCATTAGAAAACAAAAAAAAATATTTATTATTTGTTAATATATATCTACTGATTAGTATTCTTTATAAAAGAATTTTTTATAGTTAAAACAATATTAAACCTAATATGCATTTAACTACATTCGCATATATTGTAATGTAAAAAATATATACAGTTACTTTAATTAATTTATATTGTATTGTTATTTAATTATATGTATATTTTACAATATAATA